CCCCCGGCGGGGTGCCCGGCGGTGGCGGGGTGCCCGGCGGTGCGGGGGCTGGCGGCCCAGTAAGGGCACTGGGTGAAGGCCCGGGGCATCAATCTGCAGGGCTGGGCGGGATGCTCGGGGAGCGCGGGGAGCACCCCGCTCCCGCACCCCTGCCCGGGGGGGCCGCCCTGCAGGGCGCCTGGGGGTGGGTGCTGCGTTACAGGGGTTTCCATGCCATGCACCAGGTTCCCAAAACGCTTTTGGCTCCTTTAGAGGGGCCGGCAGCAGCCCAGGGGCAGGCGGGGGCTGTGGACGCCCCACTGGGCAGGGCAGGGGCTGCCTGCAACCAGCCCCGGACCAAGGAGTTTCTTGGTAGCCAGCTTCTTTGGGGTGACCCCAGGGCAGGCACCTCCTAACAGCCCCAGCGGGTGTGAAACAGCAGCAAGGCAGAGGGAGATGGTGTTTACAGACACTCAGAAGAGTCTGTGTTGCTTTTCCCTTGCTTGTCCTGTTTCTTGAAAACAGGAATGATATTTTGTTTTCTTTGGCAGATGGGCATTTTTTTCTGCAGCCGAGAGGCAGCAGTTAGGAGTAGAAAATACCTCTAGGAGTGGCAAATACCTCTTGGTGCATCCCCGGTGCCTCTTGCACTCAGAGAGCTTTGAGTGGCTCCAGAAGCCTCTGGGATGGGGCCGTTACAGAGGTGCCTGAGCCTCTGCAAAACACAAGGATTTATAAGAATTCAGTGACATTTACCGCAGGCTGGGAAGGGGACACAGCGAGGGGCTCTGGCCGCCCGGGGCAGAGGGGTCGCAGCGTGGGCTGCGCAGCACAGCCCTTCCCCGGCCGGGGGCCGCAGCCAGCCCTGAGCAGCAGCCACGCACAGGGGGGAAAAATGCTCCCCGGGCTCCCTCCCACGCAGCAGCAGCTGTGGAATTTCTTGAGGTTGCAGCAGAGGAAACCCTGAAGGTTATTTCTTTACAAAACAGACTGTTCAAATATTCCTGATTTTCTTTTTGCTAAAAAGTCCAGGGTTTGGCTTAAGTGACTCCTTGCCTTTGCAGAACAGTGCTGCTCACCATAGCAAGTACTTCTACACTGCCCTGTCACCCAGCCAAAGGTATTTCCCTATGATCCCGTCCCCTCCACACCCCACGGGGCCATCCGGACCCCGCTCCGGCTGCCTGTGCCGCTCGGTTCGTGTACCGCAGAGGCAAATTTTGTCCTTTTATCCTCGAGTCGAGACAGGGCTCATTTTCCCTGTGCCACCCGCTCTGGGAGCACTCACTTTATGTGCCAGCTAGGCAGCTGCAATCAGCAGTTTGTCTGGGTTTTTTTCCTTCCCAGCGCTGCTTTTGATATTTCCAGCCTTTAAGGCCACGTTCCCGTCTGAAGCGGCAGCGGGAACCCTAAATAGTGCTTTTAGTGCAGCAGAATGGCACCGTTTGGGTGGTTGTCTTTCATTTCTCAGCTCTGTGCCCGGCAGCGTGGATGCTGAGAAGCACGGCCTGGATGCAAGGAAGCCATCCGGATGGTGTCAGTGCCAGGCAGAGCGAGGAGCCCTGCCTTTCCCCATACACCGTGGTCCCCAGAGCCAGGGCACGGCAGGCTGAGTTCACCTCCCTCAGAAAAACAGACACCCAGGTGCCTGCGCAGCCCCTGTGCCGCTCCCTTTCCAGCAGCAGATTTGCCTAAACAAAAGCATCACTTATTTCCCCCAAGTCACCCATGTCCCTGCCCCGGGGTCGAGGGAGCTCTGAGTTTGCAGAGACGTTTGCCGCAGCCCATCCCCACCACCAGATCTCCCTCCAGACCCCTGCAGACAGCCTTCCTTAGAAGGCGGGTTTCATTAGCACAAAGGCACTGAGCCTGGGGAAATCAGATGCGGGACATGAGGAATCATCCTGGAGCTACGGGGGCTGCAGATACAACAGACCTGTTGGCCCAGCCACACTCGAGGACTCCTAAAGGCGTTGGGGTCATGGTAGAAAGCTCATCCACGGCCTGCACTGCTGCATGGGCTGCTCTCCCCTTCCTCAGCAATTAATATTCCTTTGGCAATTGCATCAACTACTTATGTGGGATGGAGACCCAAGGCAAGTAGTGCAGGTGTTGGTTTCTTCTAATGCAAACTGGGAGCCCAGAGTGCCTTTAAGACCCTGGTCCCAAATGGGGAGG